CCATGTGCTATTTAAGCTTTAGCAGTATTTTTTTTTTAACAAATGTGGGTGCCCTTATTTTGGGCATAGATGTTCAAAATTGTTTATCTTGATAGATTTTTCCTTTGATGAGTATGAAGTGTCCTTCCCTGTCTCTTTTGATTAATTTCAGTTCAAAGTATTTCATTAGATATTAAAATAGCTACCCCAGGTTGCTCATTAGGTCCGTTTGCATGGAAAACTTTTTCCCAGCTCTTTACTCTGAAGTAATGTCTCTTTATTGCTGAGGTGTGCTTATTTTTTTGTTTTTGGTTTTTTGGTTTTTTGGTTTTTCGAGACAGGGTTTCTCTGTATAGCCCTGGCTGTCCTGGAACTCACTCTGTAGACCAGGCTGACCTCAAACTCAGAAATCCACCCACCTCTGTCTCCCAAGTGCTGGGATTAAAGGCGTGCGCCACCACTGCCCAGCTGAGGTGTATTTCTTGTATGCAGCAGAATGATGGATCCTGTTTTCACATCCATTCCTTTGATCTTGACCAACCTTAGATCTTACAGAGGGCTAATATCCAAAATATACAAAAAAACTTAAGACATTAGACATCAATGACCCAAATAACTCAATTTTAAAAATAGGATACAGAGCAAGACAGCAAATTCTCAACAAAGGAATCTTGAATGGTCAAGAAGCACTTAAAGAAATGTTCAAATTCCTTAGTCATCAGGGAAATGCAAATCAAAAATACTCTTGAGATTCCATCTTACACCCATTGAGATGGCTAATATCCAAGACTCAAAAGATCACAAAGACTGGCTTGACTTTGGTCTCAGGAAACTTTCTCTTTAAGACACATACAATAAAATGGATTACCCAGGAGCTATAGAAGACCATTTGGAGTAATTTGGACCCCACAGATTCCAGATGCCCACATTCATATAACCTGTTTTTCAGGTTATGCTTCATGACTCTGGAGAACAAAACTAAAATAACCAAGATCTCAAATGCATCAAATGGAACAAATATTAATGGTACACTGAACTATGTGTCAAGATGGAATCACCAGGAGGCACCTGATGGGTGTCAGTGTCTATAAGACCTGGAGACACAGTGCACTTCATCTCTTGCCACAGTGACCATCAGGAATTCACTGAACCTAGGAGGGCTTGTGTGGTGGCTGGGCTATGGAGAAGGGCAGGCCAGGGAATTGTGATCATTCACAATCAAGCTGAAGAAAGAATAGAAGAAAACCTAACGGGCTGAGTTGAGGTGTAAGAGCTGGGTCAGCAACATGACCAATCATTTAAGAATGTGGTCATGAAGGAGTGCAGTCTTTGCTCTCATTAGTGACCCCTAACCAGCTCAACTCCTGCCTGCTTCTCCATGAGATGAGGCTTTGCCTCACCTTGGGGACAGCATCATGGAGCTCTTGCTATTCTGCATGGTGGTGATGCATACCACAGCCTTGCTGATAACAGAAGCTTTGCCAAGTTTCAGGGTATAGTTGAAGTAGCCCACCATTTCAGTGTGTCCAGCAAAGTGTCCTGAGACATTAGTAACAAAAGTCTGTAGAAGTCCTCAACAGTTGTTTCCCCATGCTCTTCTGAGTCAAATTTTAAAAAAATTATGGTGGGTTTATGAGTGCACGTGCACACACACACACACACACACACACACACACACACAAGAGGACGTTTGTGGGAGGTTTCTTCTGTCTACCATGTGGGTCCCAAGGAAGAAACTCAGATTTCTAGACTTGGCACCTGTTGAGTCATCCCATTATCTGATCACCTCAATCAAGGACTTTCATAAGCACTTTATCTGTATAAATGTTCTTTGTAAAATATATCTGTATCTCTATCTATAAATATCTATATAGAGAGATGTTTGTGCTTTTTGATGACATGCAAATTCCTTCCACCCCAAGAATAAATACTGGCCTGAATGAAAATGCATAACAAGTGGAATTCAGACAGGGAGAGGTTCAAGTAAATTAGATGCCTCCGTGGGGACTCTCATCTTGTTGTATGCAACACCTCAGATGTACTTTGTTTCTTCTATTTTTGCCTTATAGCTTGTAGGGCTAAGACTGAACCTAGAGCATTGTGCATGCTAGGAAACCTTTCTACCACTGAGCTACATCCCAGGTACTGAAGCCCATTCATCTTCTACCACAATCACATAGCAGGTTGGATGAGGAGACTTAGCTGCCAATCTTGACAACCCAAGAGTAGTCCTTGAGAATGGCTGACAGAATTCATTCAAGACTGAAAATGTTTAGCACTCTGGGAGAGGAATGGAGATGCCTAAGTCCACACTGTGCACTAAGGAGTCTTTAGCCTGGGAATGGCTTATATAAAACTATTGCCTACCAGCACGTGTGCCAGTAAAAGATGCCAGGTTAATCTACCCAACAGGGTACATTTACCAAAACAACCTCACATTATGCTGAGGACCCACAAGTGCATATGACATAGACAGCCACAGGCTCCTTTCAGGTACTAAGGTGGACAGAGACACTCAGTATGGTAGTAACTTGTTCTGAATCAAGACTCACCTAGATTCATCGTGTCTAAAAATGGCTCTTTCTCTGTCAGGCACAGGATGTAATAACCAAGTATCCTATGACAGAGACTCACCAAAGCTTCTACCCTGCTTCTCTGGATGTTGAAACTGTAAAATCTCTGGTTTGCCAGCAACTGTCTGGAGACCAACAGGATAATGTCCTACACATGCTGGCTCACCTCCAGTCTCAGAAAGACAGATCCATTCAATAAACCATAAAACAATCACCTGGAAGAAACACTTCCTCAATCCACTCTGAGCCCTATCACAGCAAAACTGTCCCTCCTATGTTCCAGGCCTGCACAGGCATGCTCTACACAAGAAACGTGTGACCAGTGCTGCAGGTTCCATGCACTATGGCTGCTCTGGAGCTTCCTCCCAACACTGCTTAGATGAAGGTACTTTTCTTGTTTTCAAGAAGAATTCATTATCCTACCCTATCATTAAGGAGAATAATCTCAATTCTTTATCAGATGTGCTTAAACTACATTTTATCATAGATAAGACTAGATAGACCTACTCCAAAATAGAAAATAATTGACACTGAGCTCATAAAAAGCAGTGGCAACACCAGAGGTCTGCATAGATGTCTGGTAGGCTAAGAATCCTAGCATGTCTACCCCGTGCACCTGGCCGGACACCTCTCCAGAGACTTCTTAAGTTAATTGGAGGTGATCAACCCAAGTAACACTTTGCATGTATTCATCATCTATAACCTGGTATCTGGTTTCCTCTTCTGGCCTCTGTGGGAAGTGTATGCAGAGGGGCCACAGACAAGTCAGCCAAAGACCAATCCACCAAAAATAAATAAAAAATAATGTAAAAATAAATAAATAGCATCCCCTCTCCAGGAAAAAGACATCGGGGTGGGTATGGCCCTCATGCCTCACTGGACAATGACAGGGGGACCGGAGCCATTACAAGGTCCCCTCAATTACTGGAGATCAGGCCTCTATCCCCACTTTCACAAGATTAGAATCGCCACAGCTATTCTATACTTAGAGAAGGGAGGAGATGTCAGGGGCAGCCCTGCTTATACACTGAAGGCCTAAAATCAGCCATAGGCCTAAAATCAGCAATAGGCCTAACATACATGTATACTAACACCAAGTCTTGGGTCTCTGTGGAAAAACATTGAAACAGATGGCTATAAGCTATTGTAAACAGGCAGCTTTTGTGGAAATTTACCAGCCTGAGTAGTCATAGACCTTGTAAACAGGTAGCCTTGGCAGATATTACCAACTTAGATAAGGACAAGTGGATCATAGGTAGAGTCATAGTGATCTGTCCCTTGAACCTTCACCCAGCCAATACCCTGTTCTAAAAGATATCTGTACTCCCCCTGAACACCCACGCTCTGGTGTCATCCCCTTCCCCATGTCCTGCCTTTTTGTGTTTATAACCCCTGTGTGAAGAAGTAAAAATTATGATTTGAAAAATAAATAAAACAAACCTGCAGGGCTGACAAAGCAAAAAAAAAAAAAGAAAGAAAAGAAAGAAAGAAAAAAAGAAAGAAAGTTGGCAGTTTTAGTCACTATCTTTAATGAAATAAATAAATAAATAAATAAATAAATAAATAAATAAATGTTTTCTAGAAAGCCCATAAATGTATGGTCAAGGCCAATAACATCTGTAAAAAGCTACTTCACAATATGACTTGGAAGGTGATTATATCTGTTGTGCCACTATCACTGATGCTGTCTTGGAAGAAAAACTGGGGCTCATAGCTCTGTATCTCCGGATTTATTTTATACTCCTTTGAATGTTCTTATTTCCCAAGAAACTGTAGAACAATGAGGGTATAATTCTCAGTAATTTCTTCCACAGGGTTAATAATGAGCGTGTGTTATAGAGTACTATATTTTATGGGCAGCAAAATGCATGACAGCAAGGATATAGTATGGTACTGACTACATCATAAAGTGTGGATCTGTGGAGTGAAGCACATTATCCACACATAAGACAACATCTGCCTGGATGGCGCTGGCTATCTGGGAACTCACTATGTAGCCCAGGTTCCTGGAACTTACAGAGGTTCATCTCTGCCTGTGAGTTCTGGAGTTACAGGAGTGGGACAGCACCTGAATAAAAAAGATGGTCTTAAGAGTGAAGAGTTACAAATCAATTTAGTATTCATAAAACATACTTTAATGGGCATTAAAAACAGCAGTCAGTATAAACAGTGAGTGATGTCAGCAATTTTTGAAAAATGATAAGAACAGATAACATCCCAATAAGAAACCCAAAACATCTAAGAGCAAAACCTCAAAAAGAAAGCCAAACACAAAATTATGCTAAGCACCATTCTTCCACTGCAGATTGAGCATCACAGACCTACAGCCTATCCCTTGTCTTGGACATAGTGACAGGGTAGTCACCTCAGTTCTCTCAAGAGGAGCTGTCAGAAAATCAAAGGAAAGCACACCCATAAGAAGACTGGTGGCTGACTGGCTACATAAAATTAAGGCCTATTCACTGAGGAAATAAAATACATGGAAGAAAATCCACTCAAGGGATTCTGTGGTTGGTGGGGATGGGGCTCAGCAGGTTGCTCCTGGTGCAGCAGGTCATTCTGCAGGACACTCTCTTCCTGGGCTGTGGCCAGTTCCATCTCATGCTGCAGTTTCTCAGACCTGGGAGAAGAAAGCAGTTAAGCCACAGGCTTGGTAGGGATCTGCCATGTTAGCTGTGAGGCTGCTACCTCCCACCACCTCTACTGTACTGGTCACTCAACACAGATCGTTTTCCTGAAGTTGTTCATTGTTTATACCCCAAAGAATAACATTCACACAGTGGCTGGGCCTACAAATATTCTCATTCTTACACACAGGTCAGAATTTTATCAAGGTACTATATGTTCTCTGATGTACTAGAAAGTATAGGACTTTCACCTGCAGTCCAGGGCATCACTTTGTAAAGATAGCCTGTCACACTCAACAGCATATGAGTGATATACAAGCTATTTAAGGTGAGTTAGTGATGGATCACAGCATTTATAGAGAGACATAATGCCGTCTTACATCCTTGGTACCTCAACAAGGTCATGAGGATAGCTCAGTCCTGCTGCTCAGAAGGCACCATGCACTCAAGCAACATACACAATAGAGCCTGTCAGGCAAGAGCAGTGATTCTCCAATGGTGTATCTGAGAACAATAGCCCTGCACAGGCTCTGGAACCAAACAGAAAGCTGAAGTTCCTCAGGACTAGAGCTGGGAAACTGCATCCTGGCTCTATATGGGAGTCTGTTTTAGAACACTCCCCTGAAGGATCTGATCAACCCAACCCCAGAGGCATCTGCCTGAGTTCATCCTGGAAACTGCTATTAACCTATTGTATCCAGAGAACTCTTATCACAGAAATGGTTACTCATGGGAGAGAGTGGTGTTAAAGGAGTGGTATCTGTTCTCTATGGGGATGTCCCTAAATAAAATGTAATTTCAGCCAGGGATGGAGGTGTACACCTTGAGATTCCATGACTTGGGAAGGTGAAGCAGCCTATCTCTAAGAGTTTAAGAACAGCCTGCTCAGAACATATTACAGATCACAGAAGGCAGTCACAATGGCTTACACACGGAGACTATCAATCATCTGGTTTCCTGGACAGAAGTTCTTATTGACCAGACCACCGAAATACTTTGAGTCATGTTTTTCATGACAATGATTCTTAGTCTTGCTGATGAGCAGAAGTCCATATAAGAGAGAGATCTCAGGTACAGGGGACCCAGGTGACTCTACCCTCTCCTTCCAGCTAGGGCAGGGCTCCTACCTCATCTGGAGGAGCTCAAAGTGATGCTGCATTTTTTCTGCTAACTCCTTTTGCTTGATGGCCATCTCCTTCTGCTTCAGCACATACTGAAGCATTTTCTCCATCCTTTCCATGTGCTGTTCATTAGAAGATGGTATCCTTAGTGGAGGGTTGTACATGGGCATGCACAAACTTTCATACATGAGCAAACACACACAGAGTATCCCAAGAGCTTGCTGGCCATTCATGAAAGCCAGAGGCTTCCCCAGAAAGCTTCTGGAGAAGCAATAATCCCTGTTTCAAGGTAAGAATGACAAGAAAATAACCCAATGTTCTCCTCTAGCCAGCTCACTCATCCAAGAAGCACTATACACACACACACATACACACACCACACACCACACAGACACAGAGAGAGACACATACACACACACACCCCACACAAACACACAGAGAGAGACAGAGACAGACAGATGCACACACAGAGAAAGAGAAATAGACAGACAGACAGACACATAATACAGAGACAGACAGACAGACAGACAGACAGACAGACAGAATTTAGGGAAAAGCTACCTCATGTTCAATGAGCATGGGAGTATAGACTAAGCATACCAGTTCTTTCAGAGGTGGTTCAGAACTCTGCTATTCATCCCCTGGGAAATAAATCTATTTGTGGAGCATGTTGTGCTTGGCCAGACTATACTGAAGTGATTAGAGAACCTTTCCCCCTTGATTTCCCAAGTCTCCAACCCAAAGCCCTTAAAAGTTTTTCCAAAGTCCCTGTTCATGAAGTCAGGTCCAGACTGGAAGCTCCAGGAAGGGAAAACTCTCCTGCAACACTCACAGAAAACAGGGCTGAAAAGATACTACTCAGGCTTCTGTCCGTGTGAACCAACAACTGAGTAACTGGAAGAGACCTCACTGAGATGCAGAAAAAGGAGAAGGCCTCATGCCACCCAAACAGATAATAAGAAGCACTCATTTGACATTTGCACTAGGCACTTTGTGTAAGCTGCTTTCAACCTGTGGTGTCTTATGACCCCTGCCATGCAGATGAGTCATTAGGACCTGGAACTCAGTCAAAGCTCTGTGTATAGAACCCTACAGTGAGGACGTATACACGTGGACGTGTTATTCACCCATGTTCCTCCCTGGACTGCAGTTTCAATCAGGGCAGCAGGAAATGCTTGCTAATAATTCACTTTCTCACAAGATAACTTCAAAAAATACATGTGCATAGACAGAGAAATGGACAATCACATTACATGTGCTGAGTTGGCTGGTTGGGAGGATGGATTACAAAGGCGATGGGTAGATTACGAAGGGGATTATAAAGCAGAGGTGGATGGATAAACACAAAAGCAGTCCAATGGGCAAATGGGATACACATTACCCTAACCCACCTGCTTGTTCCTACCTTTTGGAGCTGGGTCAGGAGGTCACTGACCCCCTCCTGTTGCTTCTTAGAGATGGGCTTCAAGTCCTCCAAGTGCTGCTGTGGTAGGGCACGATGCCCCTGTATTCTCTTGTATTTCTGCCTCACCATTTCCACCTTCTTCAACTGATTAAGCTCTGTCCGGAAGCAGCTGTGCAAGTGGCTGGAAACAACCTCTGCATAGTAAGTCCCTGCCAGTCTCCTCTTGCCACCCCAACTTCAGGGCCCCATTAACCCCAAAGGACCCAGGTTCCCATGAAGACCTAGGAAAGAGTCCAATACATCCATAACAGATGCACTCAGAAGACCCAATTCAAAGAGAACAGCCAATTCAGGCAAGTATAAACAGATTCAAAAGTCTCCAACACCAAAAGGGATCCACGTCCTCCAAAAAGAATCTCCACCTTTCTTGTCTGTCCAAGGTAATAGGGAAACATCAAAAAGTAATGACTAAATAACCTCACCATAGGACAGGGGACACGAGAAGGGGACATCTATGCAAGTGTTCCTTAACAGTGAGCTCTGCAAAACTGTGCCTGAACCCCAGAGGCCCAAGGCACCTGAAATCATTGTTTGTATCCCTAATGAATAAGAGTCACACAGAGGCTGGGACTAGATATTTTCTCAGCATTAAAAAAAGAAGTTAGCATTTTCTCTATATACTATATGTTCAATATCCTACTAAAAAGAGTAGGACTTTCTCCTGCAGCAAACAGGCATCATTTTGTAAAAGTAACCTACCATAGTCAACAGTATATGTGTGATTAACAAATTATTCATGATTGGTGATTTATGCACCACATCATTTTATAGGTACACAGATTACAGCCTTGCAGTCTGGACACCTGAACAAGATCAGGAGGCTAGCTCAGTCCTGCTGCTCAGGCGGGATGTATCTTGCACCCAGGCAACATATTGGATTAAGATAGAGCACATCCTGCTGGAGCAGCATTTCTCCAGTTGTGTGACTGAGAAAAACGGCCCCTGCACAGGCTTTGACAGTAAACAGGAAGCTGTATTTCCTTAGGACCAGAACTGAGAAACCACAACCTGGCTCTCTATGGGAGTTTGTTACAGAACATTCCCATTGAAGGTTCTGATCATCCCTGCAACGGAGATATCAGCCTGGGTTCATCCTGGAGATTTCTTAACCTATATTATACATAGAACCCTTTTCACAGAAATGGATAAACATGACAAAGGGCAATGTTAATGGAGTTGATTCTGTTCTGTATAGGGGATGTTGGGAATGAAATATGAATACAGTCAAGCATGGAGGTGCCCACGTTGAGATCCCATCAAAGGGGAGGCAGAAACAGGAAGATCTGTGACAACAAAAACAGCTTTCAGAACATACTAGAGAGCACAGAAGGTAGTCACAACAGCTCAGTAATACAGAGGATTAAACATACGGTTTCCTAAACACAAGGTCATACTGACAGCACAATTCATTGAGCTGTTCTTTTCCTGGCTTTGGCTTTTAGACTTGCTGATGAGCAGAAGCCCATAAAACACAGAGATCCCAGGTATAATGGACCCAGAGGTGGCTCCACATTCTCTTCCAAGCCTGAGCTCCTACCTCTTCTGATGGATCTGAAAGTGATGCTGCAGCTTTTTTGCTGACTTCTCCTGGATGCCCAGCTCCTTCTGCTTGCGTCTGTCCTGCAGCAATTCCTCCATTCTTTCCAGATCCTGCTCATTAGAAGATGGAGTTCTGGGCTGGAGAGCTGGCTCAGCAGTTAAGAGTACACTGATTGTTCTTTCAGAGGTCCTGAGTTCAATTCCCAGCAACCATGTAGTAGCTTACAACCATCTGCAACAGAATCTGATGCCCTCTCTTCTGGTGTGTCTGAAGACAGTGACAGTATACTCACATACATAAAATAAGTAAATAATTTTTTAAAAGGAAATTAAAAGAAAAGAGTTTCACTTTAAAAAAAAGAAAGAAAGAAAGAAAGAAAGAAAGAAAGGAAGGAAGAAAGAGAGAGAGAGAAAGAAAGAAAGAAAGAAAGAAAGAAAGAAAGAAAGAAAGAAAGA